TTCCTGTCACTACAGAGACAACTGAAACAACATTTGCCGTTGAAGTTGAAATTACCTCGCCTTCGGTCGAAGTCACAAATGTAACCACAGAGACGCTGCCCACTACCACTGAAACAATTCCAATTCTCGTTACTACAGAGACAACTGAAACAACATTTGCCCCTGAAGTTGAAATTACGACGCCTACAATCAAAGTCACAAATGTCACCACAGCGACCCTGCCCACTACCACTGAAACAATTCCAATTCCTGTCACTACAGAGACAACTGAAACAACATTTGCCGTTGAAGTTGAAATTACATCGCCTACAATCGAAGTCACAAATGTCACCACAGCGACCCTGCCCACTACCACTGAAACAATTCCAATTCCTGTCACTACAGAGACAACTGAAACAACATTTGCCGTTGAAGTTGAAATTACATCGCCTACAATCGAAGTCACAAATGTCACCACAGCGACCCTGCCCACTACCACTGAAACAATTCCAATTCCTGTCACTACAGAGACAACTGAAACAACATTTGCCGTTGAAGTTGAAATTACATCGCCTACAATCGAAGTCACAAATGTCACCACAGCGACCCTGCCCACTACCACTGAAACAATTCCAATTCCTGTCACTACAGAGACAACTGAAACAACATTTGCCGTTGAAGTTGAAATTACATCGCCTACAATCGAAGTCACAAATGTCACCACAGCGACCCTGCCCACTACCACTGAAACAATTCCAATTCCTGTCACTACAGAGACAACTGAAACAACATTTGCCGTTGAAGTTGAAATTACATCGCCTACAATCGAAGTCACAAATGTCACCACAGCGACCCTGCCCACTACCACTGAAACAATTCCAATTCCTGTCACTACAGAGACAACTGAAACAACATTTGCCGTTGAAGTTGAAATTACATCGCCTACAATCGAAGTCACAAATGTCACCACAGCATCCCTGCCCACTACGACTGAAACAATTCCAATTCCTGTCACTACAGAGACAACTGAAACAAC